GTATTATAGCAAAGCTTTATCACACTTCATTGGATACTTTGGCCTATAATTATCAAAGTTACGAGCAATAGAGGTTAACTTAATAAAATTTTGGTTATAAGAGATTCTGCCTCTTATCTAATGCATTCTGAAATTGCGATTCTTTTCATAAGATCTGCAATTAAACATTCTTTCCAGAAGAACCTTCTACTTCTTTGCCTGCCAGAAAGAATCTTCGTTCTCGAGAAAAATAATTCCGAATAATTGTGGCAAGAGTTTCTGAGATTGTGATTCTGTTCGTAAGATTTGCGGTTAAATATTCTTTCCAGAAGAACTCTCTGCTTCATTGCCTGCAGAAAAGAATTCTCGTTCTTGAGAAAAGAATTTCCGATTCTTGTAGCAAGAGTTTCTGAAATTGCAATTCTATCTATGAGATTTGCAAATAAACATTCTTTCCAGAAGAACTCTCTACTTCATTACCTGCTGAAAAGAATTCCCGGTTCTTGGGGCAAGAGTTTCTGAAATAGAGATCTTCTCAAGATATTCAGATGTGACGCATTCTTACCACAAGAATTCTCTTCTGTAGTCAATCTCGTTTTAAGAACCTTGATTCTCCTTAAAAGAATCACCATTAAAATGATCATTCTGATAAGAATTTTAGTTCTTTAGAGGAGAATATGCTACTTGGGGAATTTAGAGTGATGCCAACATTTGGCACTGTGCAAGTGCTAATTCATACTTCCTAGTGGAGAGACTAAGTGGTCTATAAGCACCCAAAGGCACAGACAGTAACATCAGATTGCCTGGATTTGAGACTACTCCTCCCTTCTAGGCAGGTAGAATTACAGAGCTGAAACAGAAATACTTACCAGTTTTAGTATTAGTATCTTTTTTTTTCATCTCATCTTGCTCTGAAGGCTGTTTACTTCCATTCTGTTTTGCACTAGTGGTTTTTCCTGTGAAGATTTAAAAAGCTGTCTTAAGTTTGCACGAGCCTCTAATGTTAGTCCAGATATGCACTCAGTTTTGTAATAAATATGATTACAAATCATTCATTATTAAGAACTTCCCATGATACATCACTTCTTGGCAACATTTAATTTATTTTGGAAGAAATAAAATGGTGAAAAAAGTTTGAATGAATTAAACTAAATCAAAGTTTACTGCAACTACTGTTGTGTCCAAGTAAGATGGATCTAGACAGTCATTCTGTTTTGAAGTCTTATACAATATGTCAATCAAGTGATGTATTTGTACAAAAGTACTTGTTAATGAATTAATTGCAAGCATCCTTATTATTATAAATGTGTTCATAGTAATTAATAAACTGTAAACAATTTCATGTTTCAAAGCAAAGAAATTTAAGATATATATTTTAATTAATGCACCTTTCTGCTAAATAAATATCTTACAATTAAAGAATGAAAAAATAAACAAAATATTCCCCTTGGGTGAGATAAGCATATTCAGAGTGATATCATACTTCTGAATTTAACGCTTTTTCAGAAACCCAAAATGGCTCAAGTTATCAGGGTTTGTGTTTAATTTCTAAAATAAATAAATAATAAATAAATAATCAATAATCATTAATGAATCATGTTATAACCATCCTTACATGATCAACAGTCATCTTTGTACATTAAGTTTTCTCTTATTATAAGAATGTTTAGTTTGGGAAGTTAAGGTGAATATATTTTATGTTCATGTTATCATTTTTGTATCAATTGCAATTGAAGGCTGGCATGAATCAATCTGCTTCCGGTATGTTCTGAAATGTTGACAGTTATCAATGGACATTTTTAATGAATGTTCAAGTTATCAGGATACATTTGAGCCAAGGAAAATTAAATTTTGTTTGAGTTAACCATGGTTGAGTTAACTGATGTTAAATGACTGGAAAATGGGGTCAAATCCAAGGTAGCCTGCAGAGCAGGAGTAATTTTGGTGAGCAAGAGCTCAGTATATCTATGATTTTAATGAAAGTGGAAGGCTGGGGAGAGAGAGAAATTTGTACCAAGGGGGCTGTGGACGATAAAAAATAGGGAAGGGTGGAAGTGGGGGTGTGAAGATTACCTTGCCCCCTACCCCCACTCTAACTCCAAATCAAACACTGCCCATCAGATAAACAATCGCCAGCTTTTAACATTAGCTTGCACTAATAAGACACCTGCACTGCAGGCTAAATCCAAGGGAAATCAGATCTTGTACAAGTTAGTGGAGGGTTTGAGTTAGCGGAGTTCTTCTATAAAACCAATTTCCTCAGTGGTCAGTAACTAACCACCACCAGATAGACACATAGTAATTAAGACAATCAATTTTATAGACCTCTTTCTTTAAGTCCACTAAGTCCATTATGATATTAAAAAGAAGAAGTATGTATAAAGTTGCCAAATATACATGTGTTAATTTGTATCATGGAAGAACCAATCATAGCTCTAACAATGCGACCTCCTTAACTAACATAAACTAAGGGAACTCAGCAACAAGTTCCGTCTTAAGTCTTTGTCTACTTGGCTGCTTTGGTTCTATCAAGGCACCAATAAGCACATCTGAATTTGTTTAAATCCCTACCTTTTTTCCTATTATTTACAGTCTTGTTAAAATTAAGGTGGCTCAAAAATCTTAAAAAGGATATTTTTAGGGCATTTATCTAATAGATACTTAAATTTGTAGCCATCTCGGAAGCAACTGTTATAACACTAAATGTAATACTGCTTGAAGTTTTACAATTGAATGTTCACTAAAAATTTATAAAGAGCAAGTTAGAACAATGGCAAATCAAAGTAGTTCCTACTTTTAGTGAGGGTACAGAAGGGAGGAAAAGGAGAAAATTGAAAGAACTGAGCTGCCGAAAATCAACCTAAAATGTTGCATATTCCACTTATTCTAGAATTTGAGATATTTAGTTGGTTGAATGTAATACAATTTTTTATTAACAACTTCATTATTGAAAAAGTGGGTTCTATGGTATATCTGAGAAGGAACTTTCTAAATCTCTGCAATGATTATAAAAATTCAAACTTAATTCCCAATTGTTACAAAAAAAAAAATGAGCAAAAGCAATTTGTCAATTAACACTGTTCCTCAAGCTGCTTCACTATAGCTTTGTCTAGCTTTGTTACTTCTGGTACCTGCAGGAGGAAATTAGTTGTACACTTTCTACTCTTGACTCAAATATAGTGGCCTACATCACAACGATTACCAGTCATTGCCCATTCTTTAGATTAGGACAGAATTTTACCTGAGGTTTCATCAGGCATGGAGTCTGTGAAATCTGTTTTATTTCCACTTGTTGCAACTTCCAAATCTGCAAATTTTATAAAATAGTCCATTGCTATTTTAAACCCTTTGGGCATCATAACAAATTCATAAAATGCTCTCTGATAATGTTAGGTGGATCAAAAGTTAGATGGAAAGAATATGTGATCGGTGAATAGAACAATAGAAACATAATGCATCTTCAAGTACATGCGAATGTTAGAAATTAGCATACATGAAATATTTCAAATTGCAATGGACTGTATATTATGGTAGGCCTGAAGTTGAAACAAGTGAGATGGATTGTTAAGCTCCAGCCTCCAGCTTTATTGGAGCACACATGCCTAACCAATCAAACAATTGGATGGGATGAGTCTAAAATTATCACCACTAATTGGCGTTACCACGGGAGTGTCAAAACGTTTGGTCTATGAATTGTAACTTCTCAGTTACATTCATTAATTCTTTAAAGCTGAGTAGTATCAAACCATGTCTGATTGTCCACCTAATTGCCATGTGAACTTTAATAAAATCTATATATATGTTTCCAAAAACATTGCAATTTGAAAATATATATGAAATATATGTATACCTTTTCCCTTCTCATCAAAAAGGTGTCAACAGAATAAAATAAAGGGACAATTTTTCAGAAGGAGAGTAAAGTAGCGGCTGTCAAATTTCTAAAGCCTTTGTTTCACCTTCACAAGATTTTTTTTGCCCATTTGTTTAGAGGTATTATAAAAATCTAGTTATTAAATAAATATGCATGAAAAAAATAGGAGTGCAATTTAACTGTGATCAAGTAGACAAGTTTTCCAGCTAAATGCATGTATAATTGCATAGATTTTAAACCACTGATCTTTAATCATTTCTTGTTTGAAATAACTAGACGGTGAACGACACAGTGGAAAACGCAGTAACTTGCTAAGCTTTATTGCATATTATAATGATAAAGAGGGTGGTGATCATTAGTGGATCGGTGGATTTGGTCTTGGAAATCTTTCAGTTTAGGAATTTTGGCAAAGATTTGGACAGATTCGTACATATGTAAAATAACGTGGATCACGCATCATCCTCCTCTAATTTTTGGAAGTTTCATAAGTTTTGACCAGCTGCTGTCCTTTGCTTGTATATTAGTGTTATGGCGGCATATAGTTCAATCCTGTTCTCATCAATCCAGTTTATAGCTTATTTTTCTCAACACCATCAACGAGAGAGGAATTTGGTTACAATCTTAAAACTGCAGAGCATAAGAAAAACATAGAGATACACTCATAACTAGTAAACTTACACCATGGAAAGTATAAAAGGAGAGAACTCGGATTATATTATATTCGAATGATAACAAAGTTGGATCAATTAACAATTCAGGCCGAGAAGCCAATCGAAAGGATGGACTGGTGTACCCCGATTCGGTCTACATTCTCAGCTGTAAACAGAAAACTGACAGAGCTCTAGGACTTGTGTTAATTAAGAGAAAAGGAGTCCTACTGGGACTGTTAAGCACACCAAAACGGAAATTTCTAGAATTGTTCCCTCGTTGCAAAGCTCATACCTCGCTTTTCAACCAAACATTTGGTTGCAAGTGTAATTTTTTGGATTAAGTCACCTGTTTGTTTGCTTTGCTTGCGTTTATTCCCTGATCCAGAAACCTTTTTGAGAGTTCTGTAAAGCGCCTTCTTAGACATATCTGACTGGATTTTACTATACGCATCATGTGGTGTAGTCAGCGCCAAACTACTGCCAGCTACGAATGACGTCATCCTAAATCCTCTCAGAATAAGGAGCGACTTCGCACTTCTGAGTTAGTGTCGAGGTAAGCTGCCATCTGATCTAATGAATGAGATTGTGGAATTTCCACTAGCAATCAAAATGATTTGTTCTTAACACTGATTGAATGTATTGAATGTTCCAGAGGCGGAAGTATGCGATTGGTACAACTTACCTACGTCCACAGTCCCTTCCGCATATTAATGTCTTCTTAACACTTGTTAAACAGCAAATTAAAGATGAAATTCGCAATTATTTTAACATTTTCATAAGGTTCTTAGGTTTAATGTAACAAATTAATTATTAGTCAAGATAAGTTTGGGCCGAATGGCGAGGATTATCAAGGTAGTTTCAGAAAAATTAGAGGCTAGGTCTAAGATAACTTCCGATGACCAAGGCTTCTAGCAAAAATATGTTTGTTCAATTTTCTTAGGGAATACTTCATTGCATTTGTTTTGTTTCCGCTATTAATTGCTATGTTAAATCAATATATTCTGTATCTTTACTGCCCAGAGGATTTGTTTGTGGTACAAGATTTAGAATGTATGGTTTCCATATATATATATATATAATATATATATATATATATATGTATTTATATATGTGTCTGTGTGTTGTTGTTGTTGTTGTTGTTGTTGTTGTTGTTGCTAATGAGGGTCTCTAATAAGTTTCAATCATTTTATTGTTTGATGTCAGAAGTGTAACCACAAAGGAAAGCAGTGGTAATCAATGTACAACAGAGAGGTGCACATGGCCTGTCCATTGAAATTTATTGTTCTCTTTGTCTTCAAATTCTACATTTTTGGTATTGTGGAATGTGCCAACAACACAAATGTTATCAGCCATTGCATCATTAAAAAGCCATGTATTGGAACTTATGGAGACATATAATGCTTTGGCTTCAGGGGAGAACAGCTTTAACATTCGAGCAGCATTGTATCCAGCAAAGAAGCCTTCTTCTGTACGTGTCTTTGTGAATGTATATGGACTTAATGGAACACAGAGTCCTAGATCAAATGCATGCAAATACACTTGGAGTACAAATTGCCTATTTGTTGCATTACCTGCAGCTGTCCTGCAGGTCATGTCTCTTGGTTCAATAATAGTGAGTCCTCGCACACAGCATCTAGATATAACCCTGCCATCCTTTTGCTGTAAAGTTTCTGAGGACAGGAGAGAAAAGATGATCGAGGATGTTATAGCTGAGGTAAGTGTAAATCTGCTGGTGGATGTGAATTTCCTTGCTTCATCTGAGAACAATATAGTTAAGGTATAAGAACTCCTGGTTTGTTTATTGAACCAAAATAAATCAAAGATTCTTTAAGTCATATCTTCTAAATGAATTTTTGAATGAATAAAAAGTTAATTCACTTGAAAAAATACACATGCTTACACAGAATAATATAGAGCTATAGCCAACCTTAAAGTGGACCTGCAGATGTTATTTTTCACACGTCCAATCACAATCACTGAATGTTAATCCTTGTGGAAAGGGACACACACTTGGATTGGTGGATTGGAACTTATTTCCCTCAAGTTCTATTAAAACAATATGAAAAGGTGTCTCAAAAATAACCGGTACACAGCATCAAACAAGCCAAAATGCAAGTTAGTACATTACATAAAATTAAATAGTTCAGGTGCTATAAACAATTGTTCTCTTAAAAAAAGAACCGCAATGCTGCTGACCTTAAAGCAAAATCAGTTTTACAACATGTGACTTGTGTGGCTCAAAATAGCAATAGCTAGAGCAGCTTACTTAATATACCATTGGCTTCTTCCTATGATTGCATAGACTATTGGAAAATCAGAAAAAATAACTTATTGTGTGATTTCCATTTTTGAGATTATTCAAGCAGCTTTTCAGCATAGCTGTTAACAGGGATGTGTATTACACTTATTGTTATTTCAAAATGGTGTATTAACTTTATATACCACTTTTTATGCTGTCTGATTTATAGCTCCAAGACTTGGCGGTGAGTCCAGCAAAACCAGATCCAAGGCTGAACACAGCTGAATGTGTCATTAAGGATCATGACCCAAAAATACTGGATACAGGACGCAGTGGTTTAATATATTCAATGTTATTCTGCTCTTTTATATCTGTCATGCTACTGGGTCCATTACTAGCTTACTTTATCTTGGAGTATTTGAAGAGTTCTCCTGGGGAGACCAGCAGGTTTTGTTGTTGGGAGGAAAAGCCAGTAGTTTATGCAGCAAATTTAACTGTTGTTGTTATGCTGCTAATAGAAATTGTAATTATTATTTACTCCTTTATCAAAAGTTACAATATAGGGCTTCCCATGATATTTATATTAATAATCACTGCTGAGGGTCCTGTAATTGTCTCCATTTTAAAATTGAAAAAGTATATACGAGGTAACCAAGGAGGTAATGGAGGTAACCTGGGCCCTCATGGCAGAGTCAAAGATACCATGAAAAGGATCATTGCATTTTTCAGGAGTTCAATCTATTACATATGGGTAAATTTAGTCCTATACCATTTTTTCTGGCTGCTTATAGGCATAATGATAACCCCAACCTGGGGGTTAACTGTTTTTTTGGTAATCTTGGTATTTATCATCGTCTTTTTTTCTGCACTATGGCATCTTTTTAAACAAGCAAATCTTCAAGCATATATATTCTCTGGGTTTTGTTTCTTTGGCTGTTGTTGTGCTGCTGTTGTTCCATTATTAGCAGGGAACTCATTTTATGGAAGGGAAACTGCGGATGACATTATAAAGGTGGTGCTGTTGTATATTATCACTTACTTGGTTCCCAAGATGCTAAAGTTTAATGAGTCACAAACCTCAGGGCCCACCGATAACAGGGATAAGCCTTCAGTGCCAAATGCTGAAAATAGGTTTGAGCTCCAACAACCAGGAATGCGAGATGGTGAGCAAAGAGGTTTGCTCACGAACACTTTAGGATAGACTCAGGCATTATCACCTCCGCTGTTATTTGGAAAATGAGCACCCCTTCCTTAGGAGGTTGAAAACTGAACCCAAGATAACGTTAGATGTTAGGTTGACTGCACTGCTACTGGGAGTAATTTGAAAGTTATAAATTAGTCAAGTTAGTGATTTATGATTGCTAAAAACAAATCAGCTATGCAGAAAATATGATCAGTGTAACTTGGGCCAACTGTGAGCTACCTAAGCGAAGAACCTGGTATGCTATGTAAGTAACATTAGAGTTATAGGCTATAAACTGTGTAAGTAACGACATTTTTTACAGCGATCTAGGTAAGCTACTTAGTAAAATATAAGGTGAAATGTAAGAACTTATAGCCTACCCATTAATTTTCGTGCGATTTCGTTGACTGGTTACTTTACGTCACGTGGTGCAAAATCACCGGACAGTTATCACGAAATAATTCCCGTCTACGTCGATATTTGTCCTCCGATTATTTCCGTCGAAAAGAAACAAAGCCAGCGGAACCAAAAGTCACTTAAGAACCTTACTTTTTCATCTTTATTACTTTTTACAATAAAGTTCGGATATAACGCGCGCTGTCATTGGTTGAAAGAGCTTGTTCTATCGAAGTACAAAACACAGAGCTAAGCTAAAGCTGTCACGCCATCTTCTAAATTGAACTATGTCCGACCATTTTCCGAACTTCTCTCTAGCTTTTTTTCGTTAATTGAAAATGACATTTTCGGAACAAGCGAGCCAGGAAGTAGCAATAGAAAAATGAAACCAAAGTTTGCGAATATGCCTAGCGCCGTAATTTACTTTACTATAGCGTGAACAGAGACCAAAATCGGGGCTGTCCTGGTGTACCGGTACACGAGGGAATTCCTTTTGTTTTCATAACCATACATGGAGTTATGACGCAGTTCGTTAATGTTTCCTTCCTTTGTGTACCGGTACACGAGGACACAACCCGAAAATCTCAAAAGAGCTTGTTCTATCTAAGTACAAAACACGGAGCTAAGCTAAAGCTGTTACGCCATCTTCTAAATTGTACTATGTCCGACCATTTTCCGAACTTCTCTCTAGCTTTTTTTCATTAATTGAAAATGACATTTTCGGAACTAGCGAGCCAGGAAGTAGCAATAGAAAAATGAAACCAAAGTTTGCGAACATGCCTAGCGCCGTAATTTACTTTACTATAGCGTGAACAGAGACGAAAATCTCAAAAGAGAAAACGAAATGGACTGTCCGAGTTTAAAAGGTTTTCACTCTCAGTTAGATTGGAAACTTACGAACGGTTATAAAATTAAACACAGCTAACCACCATATGGCACATAAAGTTTCACGTTCAAAAACAGAACAGGAATGATGAAAATGTAACCAAACGAATTAAAAATTCATACCTAAAAATTCATACATGATTAAAATTTGTTTTGAAAGTGGTAAGAAATGCATAGGGAATTTGACGGGTTATTAATTATACAACAGTTGAAGAAGCCTTGACTGTACTCTGTTCTGTTGTAAAGCACTTAGGAAGCGGTTAAAACACTTAAATAAGTAGGGAGAAACACTCGACTAAGTCTTGTGTTTCCCCATACACTTTTCGTGCTCTAGCCGCTTCCTCCCTGCGTTACAACAACAGAGCACAGTCAAGGCGTCCTTATTTGTGGCACATGGAAGAAAAAACCAACTCTTTTGTAGAGTTCAGTGATACTGACATTAAAATGCTGACTTCAAATGCTGCTCCGGAATGTACAAAGAAGTCAACAAAATTTTTGGTAAGGAAACGAACGGGAGGGTTAAAGGAAAAAGTTAAACCACCCACACACTTATTGGTATGTCTGCTGATAATATCATAAGCTTAGAGAATGCCCTAAAACTTTCCATTTTCCCTCAAAGCTTTACCTCGCGGACATATGTTCATGTCTCAGCCGCGGACATTATAAGCTAACGTACCAGCCGCCTGAATTTTAATTTTTAATGATTTGCCTTTAGAGCTTCATGGAGGGGGTCAAGTGCAGCTTTGGACCCACCCTCAGCTCTTCCCTCCCAGTTGGGTCCAATGAACCGAACTTTGAGATGTATTAAGTAACAATTAGTAGCTACTCAGTGAGCTCTGAGGATACAGAACATGAATATTCTTCAGAAGGGAAGAAGTCCAATTAACCCATTGACTTAAACATTGAATCTCCTTTTAATGCTTGTCATTTGACAGCGAAGATCTTTGAACAAAACTTTTCCCATTGGTCTGCCAAATGTACAAGTGTGCTATAAAGCTTCTCTTGAGGAGAAAATCCCTTGTGACTCAAACTTCTTCAACAACGAGTCAAAGAAGGGAAAAAATAGTCATACTTAGCTTGAAGTTCAGACAAAATAAATATGCAGTTACATGCACGACGGTCTTCGCCAAACTAGAGGGACTGCTCGTAGTTAATTGAAAGATTACAATGGAGTGAGACCCAACTGCTCGTAGATAATAAGGTAAAGTACGCCAAGGTGAAGTATGTGATATTTTCTGTTGCCCAAACGTCAAATTATCTTTCAGTTGAGAAAAAGTGATTTCAAACATCACTGACAAACATCATTTTGATAAAGCAGCTCACGTAGAAATCTGTATCCTTACGAAAAGAAATACGATAAAATCTGCTTAACTTCAGTGATGGCATCTCACCTAAGTCTTCGTCACAAAATTGTTTATTCTTAACCATGTCATTTATTCACTTTGCGGCATTGCCACACATCATTTCATGTACCTCTGATCAAATGCACTTACATCGTTGGGAATGCTACAACAGTTTGGCTAGTAAGCCACAGCAAGAGTTCTAACAAGGGAGCAGTTTAAGGTCTCTTGACTTGGGTAAATGTCCGAGCAAAGGTTAAAACTTTTTGATCAAGAATCTTTTAAGCCTTGTTGTGATAGCAGGTAAACCGCGTATCTGATCTCCATTTGAGTACATCGAACACTCAGCTGACCATGTGCACGTTAAATGCTCGCTCTATTTCAAACAAATCTGCACTGTTTGTTGATTATGTCAGCGAATGCAAAGCCGACCTAGTTGCAATAACTGAAACTTGGTTATCAGACAACGACTCCGCTGTGTGCTACGAGATAACTCCTGCTGGCTATAAACTGTTACACTGCCCTAGGGGTGATCGTAGAGGTGGAGGTACGGCCCTCTTGTTCAGAGATAACATCAATGTTTCCAAGCTCGAAACTGTTTCAAGGATTTCCTTTGAATCTTCTGAATACCTTGTCTGCACTGGCTCCCTACGCTTTCGATTGGCAATCATCTATCGACCGCCGTACTCTGTTAATCATCCTGTGACTGTGAACAGTTTTATTGACGAATTTTCTGAGTACCTTGAATCTGTTATCCTATCTAACGATGTCCTGTGTTTAACTGGCGATTTTAACATCCATGTTGATGATCACAATGATTCAGCTGCTTGTCGCTTTTTGGATTTATTGGAGTCAATGTCTTTAACTCAACATGTGACAGAACCAACGCATGAACTTGGTCATACACTAGATCTGGTAATTACTCGAAAGTCAGACAACCTTATTAGCGGTCGACCAGCGCCTGACATTCTATTTTCGGATCATCTAGCGTTACTTTTCAAATTGAAAACACCTCGACCACCTCTCAAAGTTGGGCGTGTCTCATTTAGGAAGTTGCGATCAATTGATAAGTCTGCTTTTGCGGATGAAATCTGTAACAGCGAGCTTCTTCAAACGGATACTGAAGATCCTGACGAGCTGGCCGCCTTATTCAACAACACATTGCGTTCCCTGCTGGATCGGCACGCTCCTGTTAAGCAAAAGAATGTTACTATTAGATCTCGTGTTCCATGGATGAATGATGAAATTATATTGGCTAAACGTCAACGGAGGAAAGCTGAAAGGAAATGGAGGGCTTCTAAAGCACACATCGATTTACTATCCTATCGCGCAATGAGAAATCGAGTGACGTTTTTGAGTAACGAGGCTCGTTGTGCATACTATACAAACTTCATAACTGAGAACAGCACGGACCAGAGAAGGTTATTTAGAGCAAGTAAGTCCCTGCTGAATTTATCAAATGGTCCTGGCCTCCCACTGTCGACTAATGATTATCAGTTGGCTAATGATTTTGGAAAATTCTTTGCTCAAAAATTGCTGATATCAAGTCTGTTATTGCAAACCAGAGCCGCCTTCCTGTCACCATCGACGCTGCCAGTACTGTGACTGCTTCCTGTTTTTCAGAATTTACTCTCCTGTCCGAATCAGAGGTTTTGATTTAATCAAAGCTTCATCAAAGAAATCTTGTCTTCTTGATCCTATTCCAACTAAACTTCTTACGGACTTCGCCGATGTGCTACTACCTCCGATCACGAAAATAATAAATCTTTCGCTTGATTCTGGTTATTTTTCACGCACCTGGAAAAGTGCTCTAGTAAGGCCGCTGTTGAAGAAGGATGGATTACCTCTTGTTTTTAAGAACTACAGACCCGTGAGTAATTTGGCATTTATCTCAAAGCTGGTTGAGACTGTTGTTGCCAAGCAGCTACAGCATTATCTGAATGGCAACAATCTGTTCCCAGTGTTTCAATCCGCCTATCGACAGAACCACAGCACAGAAACTGCACTCCTTAAGGTTATGAATGATATTCTCCTTAACATGAACAGTCAACGTGTTACTCTGCTTATTCTGCTCGATTTAAGTGCTGCCTTCGACACAGTTGATCACGACACCATGCTACGTCGACTTGAGTCATCATTTGGTATACATGGGAAAGCCCTCTCCTGGTTTACGTCCTATTTGTCTGGTAGAACTCAACGGATAATGATTAACGATTCGCTGTCGGAACCTTTTAAATTAGAATGCGGTGTGCCTCAAGGTTCCTGTCTGGGTCCGTTATTGTTTTCGTTGTATACGAGCAAGCTTTTTTGAGATCATTGAATATCATTTGCCCACGATTCATTGTTACGCTGACGACTCTCAAGTTTACATCTCATTCAGTCCCAACGACAGAGCTGAGCAACTTGCTGTAGTGAGGGAGTATGGAGGACTGCATCAGAGACATTCGTCTTTGGATGTTGAATAATGATCTTAAATTAAATGACGACAAGACTGAATTCCTTATCATTGGCACATCACAACAGCTGGGAAAGCTCGACAATATCAGTATACGTGTGGGCGACTCAGACATACATCCCGTGCCAATTGCGAGAAATCTTGGTTCCTGGTTTGATTCAAGGCTCTCCATGGCAACACACATCACGAAAATTTGTGCCTCTTCATTTTACTACATTTATAATATTCGTCGGATCAGAAAGTACCTTTCACAGCAGTCAACGGAAACTCTTGTCCATGCATTTATAACGAGCCGCCTGGACTATTGCAATGGCCTATTATATGGACTACCGGACTGCTTGTTGAATAAGCTGCAACGAGTACAGAATGCTTGTGCCAGATTGATTCTTAAAGAACAGAGATTTTGTCATATTACGCCCTTAATTTTTAAGTTACACTGGTTACCAATTAGATATAGAATTGAGTTTAAAATATTGTTGATTACTTTTAAGATTCTTAATTTTTTAGCCCCTTCTTATCTATCCTCTCTTATTTCCCTTAGACCCCCCTCCAAATATAATTTAAGAAATTCCAGTGATAAGCTTTTACTTAGCCATCCATCATTTAAATCGAAAGCTACACTGGGGGACCGTTCTTTTACCTGTGCTGCTCCGAAACTATGGAACGAACTACCGCTGGATATTAGGAGCGCAAGAACAGTAAATATTTTTAAAGCTAAACTGAAGACTCACCTTTTTCGTAGTGCATTTCTATAGCTTTTTTTTTTTTTTTTTTTTTTTTTTTTTTTTTTCTCTCGTTTCTTTAAATTATTGTAAGTCTATTTTAATGATAATTTTTAATCTTGTAATGCGCATTTGAACATTTTATGGAATTTGCGCACTATAAATTTTTAATATTAATATTATTAGTGTGATTAGAGGAGCTGGAGGTTCGTGATACCCGCCAGATCAGAATTAATCAATCAACGAAGGTGTTCAACAGAGCTGGTGGATCCAGGAGACACTCAGGAACTCCCTGAGATGCTGCTAAGGTCTCCTCCTCGGGCAGACTCTCAGCTGAAGTGGGAAGTACCTCCTCACCATTTGACTGCACCTGTTGTACTGGCTCATTAGCCTTTTGGCTCCAGTTTCCGAATCATGTGATGGTTTCTTCGGACGTTGCTTTTAGGCGTGTTAATCAATAAGGGATCTTGAATTCTCGTGATTTTTTACCAATAGGCATTATGTGCAAATCTGGTATCCAGGAGATAGCTGTTCACACTCTACATACGATTTTCAGTTTGTAGCCGATGCAGTCGGTTATTCTGAGAAGAATCCATTAGCTTGGGGTCTATCCCCGTAGAACAAGTTGCAGAGCCGTCGTATGAGTCAAAGCCTTTCTTTTTTATTTGTACATGATAACATTCCATAACTTTCCTAGACCGACTGGTGCGGCCTTGTGACACTGGTTCAAGTTCGTCTGAAGGTTGTTTCTAGAGGATAACAAACATTAAAATAAATTCTTCAATAATAAGTTTGACTGAACAGAGGAAATGACTAAGAGACCATGCATATACGCGAACAATGAAAAACAGTACGATAAGTTATCGATAAGCCAATTAGGTGTTACATATTACAACTGGAATCAAAATTACGCGAAAAAAGGGGAAAAAAGCAACAACAAATGAAACTAAAAAGATTATAATTTTCTAAATTTGTCAGTTAAAGTATAGACGTCAACATAAGTATCCTATCGCATCAAAATGTTTAGCAGCTGTCTGTGCAATAGTCCTAAATTTATACTTAGATAGAGAACAAAGACAGATGGAATTACTATTCCAGATCCTTGCACCCAGTCTTGAAAAAGAATCTTTCACATGTTCTGTTCTCAAATGTTTAAGATAGAGACTACCAGTCGCTGAAGACCCTGTATAACAGCATTGTTTTTCTGATGAATAACTAAATAATTCTGCAATGTTATGAGGCGGAGAGCACGTTTTTGCAAAATCAACACATTTTCCAAACTTGATCGAGCACTTTGGCCCCAGACTGCAACCCCATAAGACAAGTAAGGTTGAATTAGAGATCGATATATGTTAAGCAATTCAGCTTGTGGGACAAAATGTCTCAATCTTGATAATATGCCTAAAGATTTGCTAATTTCAGATGAAATAAATGTGTTGAGTTCAAGATAATTTTTAATCGATGAGGACACCAAGGTATTTTATATTTTTTTTCCGTTTCAAAGAGACGAGGGGACTGGCACTATACTCAAAGATATTTATGTTTACTTCATAATCAACACATTTTGTTACGTTTTGAATATAACAAAGTTAGATTTTTGACGTTAAGAGATAACTTATTTACAATCAGCCACTTTTTGTCTTTTGTCAGCTATGCCCTTTTCTTATGCCGTTCATTTAGCAATGGTTACAGCGCAGCTATCAGTCCATAGGCTGCCGGCAAGAATAGTTAGGTTGACTCTGGACACTATCTCCAGAACTGCTTGAATAAAATACTTCTGCTATCACCAAAAACGGTTCTTCTCTCCTACATGCTCCACTCTTTTAGTCACTTCTGATGTCTAATTCTTTTTCAGCTTCAAGACCTTGCTGTGATTCCTGGCTCTCGAGTTCCACGTTTGAATTTTGCTGAATCTGTCATAGAAGGGCACACCAGAAAAATTTCCGTACCCCGTTCGAACTAGGTGCTTTCCACCTGAACAAGAACTATTATTTACCCAGTAACAAAGAGAGCATCAACTTCTTTCATGTCCCAGCTCAGCTGGGGAATATAAGTGAACGAGGCCACACGGTTTTTTTCTTGCACTACGACCGGTTTTATCTTCTTTAAAGTCTTTAACAGCCCTTCAGAGTTAGAAGATCATGAAGTATGAAAAGGTAGAAATTTGTTGCTTTTCAGGAGAAACAGTTTCCAATCACAAAAGGAAACATCGTTTTGCTTTTGATTCCTTTCCTTAAGTTTATCTTTCTTACAAACTTCGAGCCAAAATCAGTTTATATTTTTTCCTTTTGATACCAACTCTCTTCAGAGTAAAGGGGGTAAGTATCTAAAGAAACTGTGGTGTCCAAAGTAAGTGGACTTGAAAAAAGAATCGCGAATATCATGAATAAGAACTGTGCAGTTATCATTAGAGTCTTTGAGGAAATTTAATTTCTTAGAGTCGATTAGGGGTACTCTGAAGAGATCGGTGGCTCTCAAATGACATGCCAGTAAAACACGACACAATTTTTACCATTCTTCCGTTTAACGACTTATTGAAAGTGGTTTTGGTGAATGCTCGACTGAATTTAAGGCAAATGAATACAGAGATAGGTTTCCCAAAAAAATGTGGCGCCGCGTCGGTGGGAGAGTATAACAGGGTAATTTTGTATTATCAACTGAGTTGATGACGTAAATTGGCCAACGTAAAGAGTTTAAAAGCTTTCCTAAAATGCAGTGGTCGTTTCCTCTTTTCTCGTTCCTTTCTCAGACTCTTGCTAAAGAGACCCTCGCGAGTTGCCCTCGCGCATGTTCTCCTTGTGCCGGGTTACCAAGCTGTATATAGCGTCGCTGATCAACCGCTGATCAAGGTGGCGATAAAAATCGTAGTACTTCGAATTCGCCATGTTTTAGCCTTGTTGTAGTGATTTGTATTGCGGTGTGGGAAACCTCATTCTATGGAATGATGCAAGCAGGACAAAAGCTAGGGATTGTGTACATCGGGAAGGCTGGTGGCAAGGTCTGTGCGGAACGTTTCGACTGGTTTCATTTACTTACCTGTATTTGATCTGATCAAGAACTACGAGTTGATTTGTAATCTTGCAATTTAATTTGTTGATGTTCTCATGATCAGTTATTTCAGTCGTCTCGTAAGCAGTTCACTTGTTTGATTTTTCATGTGCAGAGTGCAGCCTATGTTAAAGAATCTTTATATCTAGTGATAAATTCACTCTTAGGAAATGTAGTGCGAATTAATTGATGTATAGTTTAGAGTGTAACTAAATTATTCCTGACATGCAGGTGAAAGGGGAACCCTTTTCAGCTGAAAAATTTAAGTCTCATTTGTTGGTGAAGTCTCATGTAAGATTTACAGCGCCCACAAGGCTTAGAGGAGGGATTTACAGTATTCAGTGACATCCTCTGGGGGGAGTTTTCGCTGAGGAATCTCTTTAGTTACTCATTGCTATTATTATTATTACTATCAATTTCATGGTTCTCTATTTCGATCTACATGTGTTGAAAATCAGCCTGATAGGAGGAAATAATGGACTCTAACAAAGTGAATAATATATCAATGTATTGTAATGTAAACTTGTAAATGGAATTCCATACTTCTTGAGGTTTCGTTACTGTACACATGATGAAAACTACTGTTGGGCTGCTGAGCTTATTATAAATTTTAATGGCCCAAGGCACCAAGGAGGTAAAGATGCAGCATAAAAAATCCACATAGCAGAATAATTTCCCCAGTTTGCTCCTTTGTAGGTTATCTTTGGTGGTTAGTACAGATCCAATCTCTGGGGCCACTCTGCTAGAAAAGACCATTTTTTATTGCCTAAATCTTCATCACTCATTTGATACATTTTCTGAATGTTTTGTTAATAAGCACTATGGCAGGATGTGAATTTCCTTTTGTTAACTCATAACAATTTTTTTGTGCTTTAACATCACTCAAATTTTTTTGTCTTACTCCTTGTTTTTCTTCATACCATCCTTTGTAGCACAAATATTCTCTTCTTGATGAAAAAGATGTTCATCTAGTGAAAAAGTTTCGATTTGAGGTGGGTGATTTCAATTTTCTCTTCCCACACTAACTCAATGAAACCTTACAGTGTTTATCAATTCTTTTTTTGCGTTACCAATGCAAGGTTCATCCAAAATCAAGGGTCTGCGCATTAAGTTATGGACCTCATTTTTTCAGCTGATATTTATAGCAGTACGGAAAAGCATTCAGACTATAAATCCAAGGGGTAAGAAAACAGGGGTCTGTAACTTACAGTAGTGACCAAGGTAATGAGATTGGTACAATATTGAATCTATCTCTTGATTCAAATAGACAGGAAGAAATCTAATCAAACAAACTTTTGAATTTAGCAGGCCATACAGTGAAATACTGCCTGCTAATTTGACCTACCATATTGCAGATTTTAATTGAGAGATATAGTCTGCTACATTATTGTTTGTTGTTTTGTAACTGGAAATGCAAAACATAGTCATTTTAAGCAAAGACGCTTAATATTCAAAGATGCTCATGTGCCTGTAAGGTGTCTCTGAAAAATGACTTATTAATACTTGATTTGCATTTGAAAATTTTACATAGCATCATGCTACTACAATTGTATGATGTATGGATTCCTTTTCCCTGTTTTTAATTTGTGGATTTACGGTAAAAGCTTTGTATTGTTTCATCAGGCAAAAGTTGATGTCAATAAAGATGGTAATGGTGCTAACATCTTTGCATATGCATTTGACTTGTCAAGAGAAGGAACAAGTGGATGCTATTTCCATGAATATATTTGGTAAGGAAGTGTTTTGTTGCCTCTCTCACTAGCCCTTAAGAGAGAATGTTTTCCAATCATTAAATAAACAAGAATGTTGTTAAATAGTAGTGAGTCTTGCCTTTTTTGTTTAATAAAGGCAACTCACCCTTGAATAACTTATGAATTCTAAGGCTTGGCATTTGTCTGGCAAAAATTCTGAGAACAGTAGTCTAATTTACTTAGTACATGTATAAAGAAACGATAAATAAATAATTAGTTCAGTTAACTGAAAGGGACCTTAAGGCATTTACAACTACACACTTCCAATAGTGAAACATTACCTTAGATGAACATGTGAAATCTGTTGTCTAAAGCAAAGTAGTGTGATGATACATACCTGTAACTGTATTGCACCATATTATTTGTATGTGCAGAACCATGACTGGTCTTCATAGAGATAATCATGACAATATGATAATGGTTGTATATATTATTTGAAAGTTCATAATTTTGAAAGTATTTTTCTAACAATCAAAACAATGTAGAATGTAATGGAAAGTCATGGAAGAACTTATGATGGATTTTTTTTATGCATTGTCTGATCTAAACAGGATGTAAAGCTTAGGGTGGAGTTTGCATGACCAGAATCATTTCATTTGTTTATCTTCTGCAAACACTTCATTTTTACATTTAATACCTTTGTTCTTGTTTTTACCTTAGGGAGAGACATTGTGGTGGCATAGCACCTGGCTTTAGAGTTTGTCACAAAAATGGTGTAACAGTTGGTAAGTTATTAGAAATTTTAAAAAATCATTTCTGAAACAAAATGTAAGGATAAGGAATTGCCTTTGAGTTTTCAGCATCCTGATAAAGTCATTAATTCAATGAGCACATATTAAGTTTAAAAACCCATTTGAGTCAATTCAGAGAGTGGCTATTATCATTAATTGGATTAAAGATGAATGTTATTTATCTTTAGTTATTGTTTTAATTTTACATACAAACAATTTTTGTGCCTACTGATGTTAGAGATGTTACGGTGTTGTGTAAGTCCGTAATACTTTCTCAAAAGGTGTTTGCCACTTCCAAAGTGGCAAAGTTTTGTATAAAATACATTTGATGCACATTCAATAAATGTATTTATTCTGTCCCCAGCCTGTCAATTAACCAATGCACAAGTCTGTTCCAGTCAATGCCTCCATTTGTCACAATTTTGGCTTTGACAACAGCTGTTCATTAGCCCCTTTGGATTTTACACCGTATTACTCTTTTACTGCATTACTCTACAGCTGTACAACAGAAGGCATATGCTGTCATAGACTGACTTTTATTTAATTAGTCTTCAGAAACTTCTCTTAAATGATTGTCTGTTATCATATTTTACTGTTGTGCATTGCAACTATTTGAACAGCTTTCAGGAAAATGATATGAACTTTTTCTACCTTCATCATTTTGTTATTTCACAGACAACAGATTAAATAACTTGTGTGTAGTACCATCCCCTCAAAGCAAAGACTCAAAAGTAAAGTCCAGCAGTGCTGATAGGTACAGCAGATATGTCATCATCATCATCATCATAATTATTAAGTTATTATCATTGTTGTTATCATTATTTTGACATTAACTAAGATTTTAATGTTATGAAGCGGAAAATTGTCAATGGGAGATGACTCAAGATGTAGGGGGAGGCTTAATTATAAGCAAGCCTAATTGTGATCTCTTAGTCTTCCTCTTTCTGCTGTAAGAGTTTGAAGACAAAATTTTTTTCAAAAGGCAACTAATACTAATAACCTCTAACACTAGAATATTAAGTTCCAAAAACATGGGGATTTTTTAAATTTGTATTTCGATTCCTGAGTTACCTCAGATGAGTTGTAAGCGACTGGGAAAGTCTTTCTTGCAATCTATTTTGGAGGAATGTCCTTATTTATCCCTTGGTGGAGCATATTTCTGGGTATCTACTTACCACAGTGTAGAACTTAACAATTGTTTGCATTTTATTTTTACCTACTAGTCATGGCAGTATAAGGGTGATTGAATACTGAATTTTACATTTCAGTGCTGGTCATAGTAATAACTGTGGGAGTGAACCTAGGGAAGACCAAAGATTATACTGGATGGCTGTGTGTAGACTGCCTCCATTTGAGGCAGAGCATGAGGTACAAGAGCAAGTCATCTGCAAACTTTTGCTGACTGTTTTTAACCCTGTACACCATAAGATCAGTTTGCCTATTCTCCATACTGTTTTTTTTACACATTTTTTAAGGTAATAACAAGGATAATTTGTTTAACGAACAAGAGCACCTTTAGTTTGCGATCATTTCCTTTATTCTTTTGACTGCAGTGTGTGATTCAGGGGTGATATTGTGAGGAGAAATTACATGCTAGTCACTCTGAGAGGTCAAATGGTTTATGGTTTAAATCTATAGATGGTAAAACATCAAGTGAAGACAGTCAGCAAAAGAGCTTATTAGTTACAAATTTTTAATTTATTAGTTGCTTTAAGGGGAAGATCAGAACCAATGAAATGACTCGTGATGAGAGTTGTTTGCTACAAAGGGTTCTTCCATTGTTAGACAGCCTTTTGCTATGGTATTGGCTGGCTAGGGTATATTTTAGATTTATTCATATACACATGTCACATGAAAGACATCATTAACTTGGTGAGAAGTAAAACAAGGATCATAATTCATTGATGATTGCAATAATCAACTACACCAACAGCAGTTACCCAGCATACAACATAATATGAACTATTGACTGAGTGGGAGGGCCAGGTGGGAAAGTATTTGGCTCAAGTTCATAATGTACAGGCTGAGCGGAGTGAGGTCCGTGTGTCATGACCTAGAGCTTGGTTCCTTATGTCTTGTTAACTTTGGACATGACTTTTATTCTTTTATATTCACAGCATTTTATGAATTTAAACTACAAGTGTTATAACGCAAATGGGGAACAAGTATTAGAAGAAGGTAGGAAAGTTAAATTTGTTCAATCTATAATTTCCCAATGGTCAGTGATGCAAACTTCAATTTTTTTTTCAATGTCTGTCTGTCTGTCTGTCTGTCTGTCTCAACATCTAAGCAGTGTTCTCCATTGTGAGTGCCATACTTTTTATTGTATTTCAATTCAAATAATTGTGTTTTCAATCAATTTTCCCTGGTTGATGATCATTCAAACAGCTTGAAATAGTAACTGAGGCAATAATAGTGGCAGAGTGGAAATGCCAGGAAGGTTTGGGTCAAGTTAATAAAGAACTCATAGTGACCCGCCCCAAACCTCCCTCATAATTCACCTCAACAACTGCCACACCGGTAACCATCATAATGTTTTACCTACCAAAAACCTGGAACAGGCTAGCCAATATTTGCCTTTTATTGATGTGATGAAATGTTTATATTGTAGTTGGAATATTACGGGTACTTATTTACTACCTCAAGGAGTGACATATCAGGATTGTGTATCATATTACATTATGTACTATTAATTTTGAAATTTTCCTGAATTTTCTTATCTTTCTTCCAGACGATACCTTATCTTTTTATGAGTGCCACTACCCCCCTTGCTGTAAAATGGAAACTGAGGTCAGTCTCATCTCTTGATTAGTGGATCATCAAACTTAAAGCCCAGTGTCCAGTTACTGAAAATGTTACAACTGGATATTTCTTCCCTCCTTGCTGGCCTTCCTGAGCTTATGATGATTAGTTGATTTAGTAGACAAGTTTATAATTTTTTTTATTTTTTATTTTTACATTACTTTACTTCCTTTGTTTGAGTTAAGTGTACCTCTGAGGCCTTAAAACCTTGAACCTGTTTAGTAGCAAAATCTTCTTGTTTTGCCACTTTGTTTGACCCTTTACATCTTAACATCAGTGTACACATTCTCCATACTGTTCTCTATACATTTCCTAAGTTGCTGACAAGGAGAGTTTGTATGACAATTAAGAGCCTCCTTTATTAGTGATCAATTGCTTTATTCTTGTGACCTTAATATTTGATTTAGGGATGATGTTGTAAGGAGAATTTGGATGCTAGTCACTCTTAGGGGTTAAAACAAAAGATTTGAAAATTTATTTTGACTTGTGGCATCTTTACCTCTTTGAGCCAAATGCATGAATTTTAGACAGAATATTTACAACTAGATTTGAAAACTTAATAAACTATTAGTAATGTACACATATATCACATGTTGCTAATTCTCACCCTCTGCTGAAGGCCTCCAGTCCAGATAGAAAAATTTTACACCCTATGTTAAACTCAGGACTTTTGCAAACCATACCCTGTTTGGAAGTACATACCCATTTTCTGAGTGCCAAGTAGTTCAGTACCTACCTTCTCCCCCCCCCCCTGAAAAAATGTTCTCCCAGCTTAACCCTTTACACCCTAACAATAGCATTCATATTCTCCACACTGATCTCTCCACATTTACTGTGGTAATGACAAGGAGAATTTGTTTGACAATCAGGAGCTTCTTAAATTGGGATTCATTTTCATTATTCTCATGACCTTAACATTTCATTCAAGGGTGATACTGTAAGGAGAAATTAGGAGCCAGACACTCTTATGCACTTAAGGGTGAACTGCAATTATGCAATTGTGGAAAATTAATTAAACATTTTAATCAAGTTTGAGGGCTGTAGGCTGAGTTCCAATGTGCACTTTTATTTTTGAACCTCTGTCTTTACAATGTTTATTGCTTTTTTGTTGGTGCTGAGAATATGATTATTTCATTGAAATTCATATGTGTTCTTTGGTTGTAGCTACGAGAGTTCAGTATTTGTGGACAGTGCCAGCAAGTCAGATACTGTGGACCTCTTTGTCAAGAGGTGGGTCAGTGAACAGAAAATAATTAAACAGTTTCAGTTTAAAATTTTAGAATAATTATTATTAGACACTATTTACTTTACTTCCATTCTGTAAAACAGTGGACTATTCAAATCACAATTATTGTGATTTGAATAGTCCACTGTTTTACAGAATGGAAGTAGAGTAAATAGTGTCTAATAATAATTATAGTAACTAAACAAGTAATGAGAATACTCAAAATTATCAGCTAGAAGTTGTTATCTTGATGTAACACCAAATTCTCATAACTAATTTACAAGGAAATGTGTAACAGCCAGAGTGGGGAATTAACTATCAAATCTTGGGAGTTAAAGGGTTAATCTGAAGATGATGCCCAAACCTGATTTAAATGTGAAATGAGGCATCATGAACTTAACCACTGGATGGTAATCCTTGTGTTTGATTTCTACAGAGAGATTGGCCCTCCCACAAGAAGTACTGCAAGGAAAAGGCTCGACAGAGAATTAATTGTGACATGTTCCCTGAGCGTTAGACTGAAGTTTGATGGCTGTTTCATTAGTTACGTCAACATGTACGCTTCACATGTCACATTATTATTACTTTCAACTTTTATGATATTAGAGTATCCTTAGTTTATTTTGTTGCTCAATTCTAAAGCACAAATGATTGAAGCGAACTTTAGAGACTGCACTTGTCATTTATTGTGTACTTAAAAAGGATTAACATGCATTCTCTCTAGTTTGGCTTTAGAATTCAAAAAGAGTTGTGTTTGTTATAGGCTCAATTGGTTAGAAATAACACTATTTACATGACTGTACATGTCACTGTACTGCTCTCTTTCAAATTAGGTTTATTTATATATGCTTGTTATTTTTGAAGTATAAGGCAACCTTCAATTTGACAAGTTGTAGTGTAAATCCCTTGAATTAGATATTGAAGTGAAGCTGATATTTCAGGACTAATACCCTGTTCCAGGTGTTCAGTTGATGAAATGGAGCAAAATGTCAAATGGCACAACAGTAGCAGAGGAGTGAAAAAGCAAGAGAGGTCTGGGTCAGGGTCAGGTAAAGTTCATTACATGACCCAAACCTATGTCTTTCTTTCACTCCTCTGCTGCTGTAGCACTGTTTCCTATCGTGATACATTTTACTAACTGAACATCTGATATAGGCTGCATGACTAAAACCATTTTCAAGACACCTCTCTTGGTTAAAAGTTATTTATTTCCACACTCTTGAGATAAACTTTCTTAAGAAATTGCCCCTGATAATTTTCAAAACATTTGTTGTTGCACCTTTAGTGTTAAGACTCTACTTTCTTTTGACCAGACTTAATTAACAGGAAGTTTCTTTTCCTATCTTTGGGCATGGTATCCTGTTAATCTAACACAGCTCATGACAAAATGTTAATTTCAGGAGAGAAGGTGTCTTCTTGTAGCTCATGCACTTAACACTTTCACTCCTGGGTATGGCCAAAAACTAGTTGCTCCTTACAATATCATTATGCGATCACTCAGACAGATGAGAATAGAAATAAATGACAACTACAAGATATTATTAGATATTATTAGAGCACCAAATTCCTAGAACTGAAATTGTAGAAAATGTATGGCAGACAAAGCAGATAATTGATATTTAGAACTTGGGAGTGAAAGAGTTAAGTATTTGTTGCTCTGTTTATTGTTTGATCCATGGTGGAACTGTACAGTTATTGAATAATGAATTAAATCACTATTGACATGTTTATATTATTTTTTCCATGTTTTGTTGTGGTTTTTCATCTGATTTTGGGGTGGGGAGGGAAATGTGAGCTATGCCTTCTATTATAACATAGCCTGTCCTAGGCAATTGGTGTGTGTATATGTTTGAAAAGAGGGGGCAAGCGAGAGAAAAAACAAGGAAAGTTCACTCCTCCTTCAGAGGATGTGCCCTAAAGGAGAGAAAGCTAGAGAAAAAACAAGGCAGGTTGACTCCTCCAACGGAAACCCTTCTGAATTTCTCTTATCTAGGCATTTTTTCACCCCTTTTTACCAGAAGCATTGCTCTGTCCATCACACCTTTAATCATTTCCATGCTAATGACTGTGGAAAAGTGGCAGATCCAGACCTTAAGCCTTAAGTAATGAGGACACACCCTAATTGGCTACTTAAACTCTTAATATTCTTTGCTATCCACCTCCAAGCAACTTGCATAGGATTGGCACCCAAAATATTGTAAAAACTGCAAGAATAAATGAGCCAAAATTATCTTTTAGTGCTATATTATCTCACTGTTTAAGTAACTACAGTATCAATTGTTCACTGCAGTGTCAGTGGCTAACAGTGGGTATTTACCTCTCTACTTTGAGGTTTGCTAAATCTTCACCACTAGCCACCTCCATTTCAGAGAATAGTTGTCGATTATTCTTTGCGGCATAACCTTATAACCCACAAAGGTAATCTAATATTGCTCAAGAATTCATAATACCAACTCGACAAGCCTTAGGCACCACAACTGGGGAAAACAACATAAACTATATTTCTGAAAGTCATTTTTATTAACCATATCTACATCTGAAGCTTCCGTAATTATTCAGCCTCAACCAAGGCATTTATCTCTTTAGACAGTTCATTTACTTGCTCAATTATTTTAACTTTGTCTTGTGAATCTAGCCTGTTACCACATCTTTGAAGAAATTTATCAGGATGCCATCTCACTTGCTGTTCTTTCAAAAACTTTCTTTTTTCTTCTATCGTTTTAATTTCTGACCAATTTCCCAAATGGGCAATCATGTCTTTGGTGCTACCTTTTGTGGGCCACGGTATATCAACGAACGTGAGGTTTACTGTCGAATTACTGCAGAATACTGCCGTGCAGTTGGATTCATAATCTGCTAATGATTTTGAAAGTTTCAATTTCTGACGTTCTACGGACATCCGCGTTACATAAGCTTCGTGTTCCTTCTCAAGTTGTCTGGTTCGTTCTCTCGCTTTCCGTTCGTTTTCATTTCGTTGCCGGCATGACTTTCTTGTTTCTCTCTTCTGTTGCTTCTTCGCTTCAGTTTTTTGTCTTCTTTCGTACGTAATTCTATCAGCCCACTCATCATATGTTTCTTTCATGTTATCAATGTAATCATCCTGGCAATATTTACTGTAACTTTCTTGACTTTCTTCAAACTGTAGTTTTCTTTCCCACTCAAGATCTTCCTTCAATCTTGACTTCTCCTCGTGCTCTTTATGCCATCGCTCTTTCCTTTCAGCCTCTAGTTCTTCCCTTCTCTGAGCATATGCCCTTTTTAAATCCGTAAGGTACTCTCTGGGCGTTTTTTCCTCATTGTTTCTTTCGTCAAGAACATGGGGATTGTCACAGTAGTTGAGTAACGGTACAATCAGATCATTGTATGTCGAGAATCGAACTGTTTGAACAGCGAATCTCAATGCTAAGTGAATAGGCGTATTGCCATCACTGTCTGTAGCTCTTACATTGGCTCCGTTCTTCAACAAAAGTCTCATTATTGCATCATCTCCAAGAAGACAACAGGCGTGCAAAGCTGTTCGGCCCCTACGATCAACTAAGGCAGTTAAATATGAAGCTTCGTGTTTCTTGAAAAGAGATCGCACACGATGAAGTTTCCCCGTCATTATGTAGTAGAAAAGTTTCTCTTCCGTTGACTTACCCATTAGGTCAAGTTAGATGGGAATACAACTTGAAAAATAGGTTTTTTATAATAACAGAGAAAGCTGTTGACAACGTCGCCATGTTAGATAGCGAACCCAGGCCCTGCACGAGAGACGTCAACGCAACCTCGTTCCTAGGCTCCAAAAACATGCTAGTGCCAAAAAAGTTACAGGTTGCGCATTTGGAATTAAATAAATACTTTTTGATTGATAGTCTTAATTTATGAAAAAGAAGTTAATAAATTTATCAATCCATTGTTGCCAAGTCTGTTGCAATAGTTGCATGGAGGATGACAGTTGCGAGCCCGCTGTATATCAGCCAGCGTTTGAAGATAACGCATGCTCAGTTCCACTCATTCTTGTTTTGGTCTATTTCATTTCAAGAGGTAACTCGTTGGCTAAATATTTCTCGATTTCTACAGAAACACTCAACAGAGTAGAAATGGCAGAATCCGACTGGGACTCAGTAACTTACTTGCGAAAGAAAACACCTAGAGCGGCAGAACTGAAATCTAAACAGGTATCTGATTCCTTAATATCATTATTATGATAATGCAAGATTCAGCAGAAAAGTGAAAGAATGGAAGATTTTGGTAAAGTAAGCTAGCTTACATCAGAAAAAGTAATCACTGTATTTATCTGAGAACTTGCATAGTCGTTCATTTCATATACTTCGTTACAATGATGTGAAACCCATAGCTTAGACAGTGAAAACTGGATTGTAAACCGCTGGGACAAGCATGCAACAACTCTCACCAATCCAGAGTGTAGTGGGGTACTGTCCTAAAATTGCCATACGATTTTGGGTTACCCCACGGATTTTTATCTTGGAACTCCTGATCTAGAACTTGCTGCCATATTTGAGTGATTAAATTATATGGGATGTGTTGTGCAAACATAGATTAAATAATTGTACATGAAAAAATCCATAACCTGTTTACCATGAATTAATTTCAAACACATGTAAGAACTTTCAACTCTTCATTAATTTCCATCTAAAAAAGAAAGTTGGGCTAAAAAATCCCAAAGCAATTACACTCATGCCAGATCCTCTAGGGAAAAAATCGTTCTTGTAATAAATCTAATCCTACCTGGCTCGTGAACGCAGCACATCTGGAAATTATACACAACTTGTAAAAGACGATTTCTCGATAATAAACAGATATAATCATATACAGCATAAATAAATGAATATTAAAGTTGACACTTATAAAAGCTCTTGAAAAGTTGGAATCTTTGGATTACTAAATCCTTAAAATTCTGTTAAGATCTTTTCCATTTTGGCTGCAAATGTGTTCTGAGGAGATCCAAGTTTACTGACCAATTTAGCCCCAACCTACTCAAAATTCACAATACCTGAGATAGTTTCTAGCCAGATTTACCTGTAATTAAATGGTTATGTTCAAAAAATGTTTTTTTTGGTGCCTTTAAGGCTGTTGCACAAGCACAAAGACATGGTGGCCAGGTGGAAACATCACAAAAATGTAAGTTGAACAATTGAAAAGTTTACTTTTGAATAAAAATGGCAACTTCATTTCTTGAATCAACCCAGAATTACTCTACTCTTTATCCTCATGAATTTCATTCAAAATTGCTCATTTTAGCTTTCAAAGAATATTGAAAACTAGAATGTGACACCATGTTGTTACAGAAGCTGAACCATGGTCTGACAGTAAACTTGTGCAACTCTGGGTCAAGAAGTCTGGGGTCAAGAAGTCTGGGGTCAAGAAGTCTGGGGTCAAGAAGTCTGGGGTCAATAGTTAACTCAACCCCCAGATTTCATTGTTAATTCTCCTTACTGTATACTATATAATTCTTATGATGTTAGTTTGGAGATTTTGATATTGGATCAACTAATAATCCCCTAACTGAGATTTTTCTTTATTCTCAATACTTGTCTGCTTGATATTGTATTGATATTATAGGGAGAAATTTTGTTTCTGTCACTCCTGGGAGCTAAGGGTTAACTCTCTTGAATACTGGCAATCTGTCAGGCAAGCCTTACTGGATACTGGGGGAAAAGCTTTGATGGACTAATGCTGTATCTGGGGGGAAGCAATATTCCAAGGAGACCAGGATGAGTTTGGGAACCATATGCACCACTTTTAATTGTGATATTATAGAACAATGCTCAGTCACCAAAGAATGGGATAGTTTTGGGTAGTCACAGACAATGTTAGTGCACTTTTTTTCAATGGAACAGCTCAGAGCAGCTCTCCTCTGAAGTTTCCATGAAATTATATTTAATTCTAATCTTTAATAGCTCTTACATAATTTGCTTTCAAACAGTTGGTGCTGCTTCAAACAAGCAGCATTCAGCAAACAAGGATTCTGCTAAACTGGACCGAGAGACAGAGGAGCTACATCGTAAGTTCTTCTTTGGAAATCACATGTACTAGGTAGTCTGGCAAATAGAGTTACATCAAGTATCAGGGTTCATTTTTTAAAAATGAAATAATTTTGTTACAATAAAGCTCTGCAAGTTTAGCAAGGGTAAGTGAGCCAAACCCTGGATCTTGGAGTTGGCATATAAGCTTTGGTGTGGTGTCTGTGTTATACAGTCCTCACTACCCTTGTCTGAGAGTAGCATCAGCCAATAGCAGTCAGGGAATTCTACAGCGGCACAATTACGATAATTTTTGTATTGCATCCAGGGTAAGTAGCAACACTTGATGTTTCAGAAAACTCTGGTGATGCAAAACACTCTACAGTTTTCTCTTCTTCCCTGCATAGACATTTAGATCCCTCCAACAGCCTGTTGCTGTTGATGGTACCAGTACCTGCATTTGAGAATCCCTTTATATACCTCTGTGTCTGTTTGTGGAAGTTCAAGGGAATTGCAGATGATGAGATGCACATTTGCAGTCATTGCACCACCCTAACTACGACAACAGTTTTGGTTTCC